ATTATTTTTAAATTATTATTTATTTAAATTACAAATAACACAAAAATCTACTATTATTCCCTATTTTTTAATCTTTTAAATAAAACATAATTTTATAAATAATTATATAGTTTTTTTTATATTAAATCAATTACAATTTTAACTTATATTATATAATAAAAACGCGGTAAACTTTTTTTTGCAAAAAAAAGTGGTATAATTTAAAACTAGAAATATTTCATAATTCATGGATATCAAAAAAATTTTAAAAATATTACAACATTTATTCAATACCAAATTTATTTATTTAATGATATTTAAGTTGTTATTATTTCTTGATGTTAAATATATAATTAATGTTATTTAAGTTTATTAATAATATCTATTTATTTATTTTTATTACTCTATTCTTTAGATTTTTTAAATAAATAATAAATAATAGTAAAATGTAGGCCCTGGGCAAGAGCACTGTTTGCATAGCCTCTTCATCGACCTTTTATATATATATATATATATATATATATATATATATATATATATATATATATATATATATATATATATATATATATATATATATATATATATATATATATATATATATATATATATATAATAGAAAAAAGATCAATACATACTATTGAGAAAAATGATTTCTTGCTCTTCAGGTTTTAAAAAAAAAGGAAATTCAAGAAATAAGAATATAATTGAGAAATTCAAGGAAATGAGATTCTATCGACCGGGGCATGTCCCACCCACCTTTATATCTTTGCATCAAGCTAAATAGTGACATGCATGAAAATGGATGTATTTGAGAAAATCATGAGTCCCATATTAATTAGAATTTTTTTATAAAGTGATAACCCCACCTTATAAGCTGATTTTGTCTGAATGAGTTAAGTTAAAACTTAATTCTAATATGATATTAGAGCCTATCGATCGAGTCATGGACCATCCATCATTTATATCCACTCACCAAACCCAATAGTGTTGGGTGTGGGATGGTGTCACTACTAGAAAACTTCATTTTAGCTGCGAATTTAGCCTCGGCCACCAACACCGAGGCTAACTAGCATTGACAAAACCGAGGCTATTCAAACGCAAAAAAAATCATTTTAAAGTTTTTGTTTTACAATTATTTTTATTTAATTCATTATACACGGCTAGACCGAGGCTAAATAATTTTTAATTTTTGAATTATTTTTTTTAAATATTAGACACGGTCTAGCCGAGGCTAACTATTTTAAGCTGCGAACTTAGCCTCGGCCACCGACACCGAGGCTAACTAGCCTTGACAACACCGAGGCTACTTAAACGCAAAAAACCCCATTTTAAAGTTTTTCTATTTTTTTTAAAAATTAGACACGGATGAGCCGATGCTAATGTTTTTAATTTTTTTGAATGTATTTATTTTATCTGATAGACACGGATTAGCCGAGGCTAAAGTTTTTTATTTTTTCGAATATATTTATTTTATCTGATAGACACGGATCAGCCGAGACTAACTATTTTCCATCTTGTTTTCATTTTTCCCTCTTAATTCCTTTCAGAAGAAGAACCCTAAAATTACACCAAATAGATTTTTAAAAGAAAAAAACCCCTAAAATCAAACAAAATCGATTTTGTATGGTCTTGAGAGATCATCTCTTTGTTTTCATCTTCAAGATCATCGATTCTTCTGAGTGGGTTTATTGGTCTCTGATTCTTCTTCTGCTTTTTTTCAACCTCAAACTATCTCTGATTCTTCTTCTGCTTTTTTTCAATGTAGTGAGTTTCAGTCTTGGCCTTTACCTGTTGAAGGAAGTTTAGAAGATAGAGCTGCAAGTGCTTCCAAGAGTAATAGTCAAGCAGAGAAAAGACGCAGATAGAATCAATACTCAAACAAGGCTGCAAACACAGTATTCACTCGCAAGTAGTGGAGACGCACTTGCCGGTAACGACTTTGAGTCCTTTTCAAATGAATCTAATTGCTTTCATTTTCTGTTGTGACTGGATTTTTGTTCAACTATTGATTACATTATGTGTATATGACATTATTTCGGTTCTGGTTTAATCGCTCGACCCACTCGTTTTATACCAAACAATTGAGAATTATATTAGGTACCAGAATTTGCTTGAGGTTTCAGTTTGAGTTTTTGTTCAGGTTTTGTTTCCACTTGAGGGTTGGTCTTATATTGAGATTGTGGTCATTTTCAAACTGATTCATTTGCTGCTATTGTTGAGTATGTGATTTTGGTTCTGAAAAAGCTCTGATGTTGCTGCATCATTGGTGGTGATTCCAGCCCGTGGTTATTTTTTCTCTGTGGCCGGATGCAAGTTAATCGAACGTATCAGCCTGATATGTTTTGAGAAGGTGGTGAGCATGGAGGTTGGTTGGTTCGATGAGCCTGAAAACTCTAGCAGTGTTGTAGGTGCAAGGCTCTCGGCAGATGCTGCTTTCGTGCATGCGCTTGTTGGTGATGCACTAGGGCTGTTGGTTCAGAATTTGGCTACTGCATTGGCTGGTTTGATTATTGCTTTCGTTGCGATCTTGCAGCTCGCGTTGATTATTCTTATCTTGATTCCTCTCATTGGGCTCAATGGTTATGTTCAAATGAAATTCATGAAGGTATTCAGTGTTGATGCAAAGGTGACATTGCAAAACCTTAACAAAATTTTCTATCAAAATTTTAGATATAACTGTCTTATTATCTGTCATAACATAAAGAAATAAGAAACTAGCTTATTTTATTAATGTGAATTGGATTGGTGCAGATGATGTATGAGGAGGCTAGTCAAGTTGCAAATGATGCAGTTGGAAGTATAAGAACTGTGGCATCTTTCTGTGCTGAAGATAAGGTTATGGAATTATATAGAAAGAAATGTGAAGGACCCATGAAAACAGGAATAAGGCAAGGGATAATCAGTGGAACAGGTTTTGGAGTTTCATTTTTCTTATTGTTTTATGTCTATGCAACAAGTTTCTACGCAGGAGCTAGACTTGTGAAAGCCGGGGATGCTACATTTTCCGATGTTTTCCGGGTACTAAATCTTTCCTACTATTACTAAAATTTCATTATGATCAAATCAAGTCTCTTAGAAACAAATACTATTTTCTTGTTTTGCAGGTTTTCTTTGCATTAACTATGGTGGCTATTGGTGTTTCTCAGTCAAGTTCCTTTGCTCCTGATTCGAGTAAAGCCAAATCAGCTACGGCTTCCATATTTGGAATGATCGATAAGAAATCAAAGATCGATCCAAGTGATGAATTCGATACCACTTTAGATAGCGTTAAAGGCGAAACTGAACTTCGTCATATAAGCTTCAAGTATCCATCTAGGCCAGATATTCAGATTTTTCGAGACCTCAACTTGACCATCCATTCTGGCAAGGTAAAAGCCGGTTTTTACTTCTCGTGTATTATTTGAAAAAGCACTTTGTAGAAAAAACTAATAGTTAGTTACTCTGTCATAATTGTTTTTCACAGACAGTAGCACTTGTTGGTGAGAGTGGAAGCGGGAAATCAGCCGTGATTGCTTTGTTGCAAAGATTCTATGATCCTGATTCAGGTGTCATCACACTTGACGGGATAGAAATTCGCGAGTTACAACTTAAGTGGTTAAGGCAGCAAATGGGGCTCGTAAGCCAAGAGCCGGTATTATTCAATGACACTATCCATGCTAATATCGCTTACGGAAAAGGTGGCAATGCAACTGAGGCAGAAATCATAGCAGCATCTGAATTGGCCAATGCTCATAGATTCATCAGTGGCTTACAACAGGTCAAATAAATGCTTTCTACAAACATATCATTTTTTTTCTTTTGGTGCTGGTTAGTTTTGTTAACATTGTGTCATTTTGGTGGAATGTTTTGACTTTACGGGGTTATGATACAATAGATTAACTAAACATTTCAAACTGCTAACAGTTAAAACATACATCTGAACCACATTCCATGACAGTTCAAACTAATTTCAAAATACACACAGTAGAAAAATTAGCACACTAACTCTGAAGAAAAGACTAAATGTTTCTGTCATGACTTGACTCACCTCATTCGTCATTCTCACTTCATAATTTTAAACTCATAACAGAGTTTTGAATCTTACCAACTAACTCCCTAACTGTCCCAACAAATCCCTAATTGTTGAGAGGATTCATTTCCTCATTGTTAATTGTTGTTATCTTACCCTAGGGCTGCTATCAGTCATGACGGGTCCTTTATCACTGGTTAAATTCACTTTAGTGTCTTAGAAGGTTGAGTTTATCAACTCCTAGTTGCTGGTTGTTTAGTTTTTTTGCTCATGCTAATGTTTGGTTTGTAATTGTTTGACAAGTTAGTAAACTATCATTAAAACAATATAAGGATTTAGTGCTTGATTGATTGGCATTGTGATGGCCAAGTTCCTACTGTCATGACAAGTTAGTAATTGTTTGGCATTGTGATGGCCAAGTTCCTACTGTCATGACAAGTTAGTAATTGTTTGGCATTGTGATGGCCAAGTTTCTACTGTCATGACAAGTTAGTAATTGTTTGGCATTGTGATGGCCAAGTTCCTACTGTCATGACAAGTTAGTTTTTTGATTGTAATTGTTTTTAGATGACCAATCATTAAGTGAAGATTGATCATTAAGTGAAGGTTGATCATGCAGTTTTAGATGACCTTCAAAGTTTCAAATGATAATTGACCCTTAAACACTTACATTATAGGAGAATATAGGACATGTAATACAGTAAACAAATGATAATTGACCCTTAATTAACCAAGATGAGTAATATCATATCATAACAAACAACTTTGACAACATAACAGCTAGCTAACTTCTTTTTAAACCAAACAATACTAACATCACCAAGCACTAGTTGAATCACAACTTACATCTAATTCACAACAACCATTTTAATTCCTTAACACCAATAACCATCTAACCTTTAACACATTTAGAATTGGACTGTTCCAGTTGTAGTTAGCCAAGTTAACATAAGGTCACGAGGAGTCAGCTGCCACCGACGCCGAGGCCAACTCACTACTGCATGCTCGTATGTATGTCAGAGAGACTACAGATTCTTACGAAATTGCTACAGCTCCAAGTTTTGGATCGATTCTAAAAGGAACAAGTTTTATTTATTCATGTTTTGGCAATCGTTCAAAGAGTAGTAACTCGGACATAGATGGAAAATCTCCCTTTCTATCCGCTCATGAGAAAGATTCAATGCAAAATCTTGCTGGAGAAATATCTCTTGGTCATGGTTGCAGCTTCACTCAGACAATTTTCAATGGTATGTAATTTTATTTGACATGTGCGTGTTCGCTAGCTATGAACATTCTAAACTCAGTTGCTTGAATCATTAATTATTTTGTTTGATTTTGTTCTGTCAGTTTGCAAATATATATCCAAACTTGGTTTCAATTTTGAGGTGATGCTAGCTATGAATTTTCAGGGATTAATGTGATGGTTGGAGTTGGCCTTATATCTGCACCTTATACGGTGAAACAAGCTGGTTGGGCTAGCATGTTGGTGATGACTCTTTTCACAGTTGTTTGTTGTTATACAGCCATGCTTATGAGACAATGCTTTGAAAGTAGAGAAGGACTCACTAGCTACCCAAATATAGGAGAAGCTGCATTTGGTAGATATGGCCGTATTTTTGTATCTGTGAGTTTTTCTATTTCTTTACCATGAATTTGTATGCACTGTTGTTAGTTGACCGATAGAAAACATGATTTAGCTTTACTGAGAATGTTTTGCTATCAATGAAATATTAATTATCTACTGATATTATTTTGTGCAGATCATTTTGTACACTGAGTTATATGTAAGTGCTGAAACCATTTTATATTTTTTACATTTCCTTTGGATCCGCTTTGTTTAGTAACTCTGCGTTGTATGTTTAAGAATCTTTTTGCGAGTGCAGTCATATTGTGTGGAATTCTTACTGCACTCGCAAATAAGAGATGGAAAAATGACCCAACCATATCATCACACAATGGATAAGCATTAGATCAAAGAGTAAAAATGATTTTTCTAAAACATCTCATTTTCTTATATTATTTATAGATATTATAGTTATAGTTTTAATGTTATGTGTTAAGAGTAAAAAAAACTAAATATGTGTTGATCTTTTTACGAGTGCACTTGTTTAGAGTTCTTACTGCACTTATTGTTCTACCTACTGTTTGGTTGAAGGATCTCCGAATAATCTCGTATCTATCAGGTTCTCTAAATTCTAAAAGTGACGATTTCTTCTTTCAGATTTTGCAACTTACTTTATCCTCATTATAACTTCAATTTTGATTTTTAGTTGGAGGGATTGTAGCAACAATATTGATTTCTATTTGCGTGTTATCGGTCGGGACAACAGTTGGATTCCATCATACTGGTCAAATGGTGAATTGGAGTGGCATTCCATTTTCTATTGATGTTTTTTCAGGTAATTAACCCATTCACTAAATATCCTTTTTGCATAGAATGAATGTTTACTACTACTATATAGCAAACAATTGGAGATGGTTTAATCCAATTTAGCAATAAGTTCAGGTTAACCTTTCCTTAATAATTAACAAATATGCTTTGTTGATGAATCCACTGGCAAGGAGTCTAGAGAAATTGCTGCCACAACGAATTTCAAGTACTTATTGGTGTTTTCTTCTTCTTAGAACAATACTTGTTGCATCTACAGTTTGCGCGGCTTTTCTGATTCCGTTTTTCGGTAAGTCTTAGACTTCTTCCTTCTGAAATACATTCATTAAGAGATACTATTCCTATTTAATTACATGATTTGATATGGTTATACGCATAAATATAAAGATTTTGAAACTTTTGGTTGACTTATAAAGTTTGAACTTAGCCTCGAAAAAGTCGAGGCAAAATGTTCCTTTAGCCTCGACCAGGATCAAGGCTAAATATTATGTGAGCTTATGGAGTTTGACTTTAGCCTCCGTCAGGCCCAGGCTATTTTTTGTTTTTTGACACGACTTCACCGAGGCTAAAGTAGACACGGCTAAACTGAGGCTAAATTAGACATGGCTAGACCGAGGCTACTGTAGACACGGCTCTTCTTGGCCGAGGCTAAATGTTAACTTCGATCGTTTTAGCCTATCCCCGACACCGACGCTACGCCGAGACTATTAAGAGGCGTGAGTCTAAAATGTTGACTCGCCTTGCAAAAAAATATGGGCAAAACAGGCATACCCGATGGGATCGGGTCCGTTGTTCCCCTCCAATATATTTTATTTAACTAGTTGAACCCTTGAATTATACCATACATATGTTTTCAGAAGAATCCCACTGTTTAAACAGTGTATCAATTTTAACTACATATGTTTTACTCAAATTTGTACCAATAGCCTTATTGTCACACCACGTCACATAAAATAATTGTTTGAAAAAATAAGTATGGTATAATTCAAGAGTTCAAATCTAAATCAATTCAAATGAAAATTATAAATTAATAAAAAAAAATTAAAACTCGTAAAAAAAATAAATATTATTGGATATATTTAAATGTCATTTTGTAAAACCTCTAAATTTAAATTGAATTTCGGATTAATTTTTCAAAATTGATCCAAAATAAACTGAATCGCGTGAATCTAGTTTTAAATGATCAACGATTAAAAACGTCAAAATCACCACTCTCGCATGATCGTCACACCCTGTTTCATGAATCACACTACATCAAGATCTCTTTCTTTCTCTCTCTCTAACAATTTTTTTTCTCTAGAATCAAATATGGGAAAGGGACTGGGTCTCTACTCTGATATCGACAAACTAGTCAAAGGTGAAACTATTCTTCTTCTTTGCTTTATCTCTCACAATTAGGGATGACAAAAAAATCCGTACCCACGGATAAAATCTCTCATGGATATGAGACAGGTAACTTAATGAATATCCACGGATAAAATAAATATATATTTAAATATCAGTTTTGTAATAGATATGAATACAAGTTTAATGATATCCGTGCTCGCGGATATCCATATCTATTAATAAATTATAAAAATAATTTAAATATCATTAGTTTATTATACCTTATATTTTCATCTTCTAAAAAAAATTAGTCTTCTTATATTTCTCTTTTCTTTGAAAAAAACTTTTTACATTTCATTCAAATTCTATTATCCATTTCATATTTAAACTCTTTAATACTTTATACTTCACTTCAACAATTTCACAGTCCAACTAACTAGTGTCGTTATTTTTCTGTTGAACCAGTGTCTCCCTTCCTACTCCTCTGTTGTCCGCTCTTCCATCATAACTAACAATCACAATATCTTTTATTTTATTTTTGGTTAAAAATGAAATGTATGGATCTAATTATGTTTTGGTGAATGAGAAGAAAATTAACATGATGAAATTTTATTGTTAAATTAAAAGCGAATTGTATGTATGTTATGTGAAATTAATTTTTTTTTGTCTTTAAAAAAAGTTTGAATATTTTTTTTCAAAAAATAATTTTTATAAAAAAATATTATCCATGAGTATATGTAAATTTTTGCAGATACCTTAAAACCCGCAGATTATCCGTTTAACAAGTACCTGGATAAATATCATATTTACATTCCTACTCATTTTTTTTAATTTTGAATAATTTTATAATTTATTTTAAAATTATATATCACTTAGTTAACAATGCATTTTTTAGATGAAGTACTAACACTACAATTAATTTAGAGAGGTTTTTATGGCACTCTTTAGAGTTATTAGTCATCATGCGCGATTTTTAAAATGTTCACAAATTTCAGTGATATATATCCGGATGCATATTTTTTTACTCAATTTTAAATTTTTTTTATCTCTAGAATCACCATAAAACACGTATTTTATTCGTTTTTGAGTCCGATCTCAAAAATTACAAATAAATTGTTTTTGGAAACCAAAAATAATTTATTTGTAAATTTTAAGAGATCTGACTCAAAAACAAATAAAATACATGTTTTACGTCTGAAATATATCTCCAAAATTTAAAGGCGTTTAAGGAAATACATAGTGGCTAAGAGATCAAGAAATAAGATAGAGACCAATAGATACTATAAGAAATCCCCTTAATTTAACTGATTAAAAAATAATTTTACAAAATTAACCGAAAAACTTAAAAAAGAAAATTACTTTTATCCTCGTTGAATGTAAGTGGAGGAGAGAAGGCCGTAGTAACCACACCTCACACGACCCTGATCGCACGCCTCTCCGTGCCGCCGCCACAACCACCGTCTTCTTTCCGATTTCAGCCAAAACTCCTTCTCAGTTCTCACTCTCCTCATTAGGTTCTGAATCCCTTATTTTTCAATGGCGAGCTATGTATGGAGAAAATATGCAGATTATTTGTACACAAAATGGGAGAAAACCTTTCTATGGGACATGGTTGAACCTTACAGAAGACCTAAATCATTCACTCCCGTTGTCGTTACTTATATCGCCGCTTTCTATACCGGAGTCATCGGTGCCGCCATCACTGAACAACTCTACAAGGTTTTTTTTCTTTTCATTTCGTTCTTATTCTGTTTACTGGCATTTATCAGTACCAATTAAAATCGTAATTCCCCTGAAATTGTAGAGATAGGGTATTTAGACACTATAATTTGTGAATATAGGAATCTTCGCCGATGACTGTTTGCGTTTATGCTTAAAATCTATGCTTAAAATCTCCAACTTCTGTAACTCCGAGTAACTCCCTGGTAGAAATAGTTTCTGGCAAGACATAAGAACTTGAGTTCCTTCTGGCAACACCTTTCATAATTCTAGTCCACAGCCACAAAACAACGATTTAGAGTCATATTACTCTATATGACGCAAGTATCTGCTATAATTCTTAATATTCTCTGTTAGCTTCAACGTTCTGACTTCTGACACTGCAGTATCGATTTAGAGTCATTTACCAGTTAGTTTTGACAGTGTGTTTGTTGGTTCTGGGATACAACAGTTATTAATAGCGGCTGTTCCAGGTGCTATCCCGGGATTCTCTCCCGGTGCGGAAACCCTCCTTTACGGAGGAGCATCACTCATCCCAGTTTTAGATAGCGGCCGGGAAAGCTAGGATAGCATGCTGCGGGAACGGAGCGCTTCCCTGCCCTGAGCGGTTTTCTGCCCTTTTGAAGTGCGAAAAGACCTTTTTACCCTACAAAATTTTTAACTTGGAAAGTTTATTATAGTCGTTTGTGTTTTCTCCTCTCATTCACGTTTTCACCTTTCTCCATCCCTTTTCTTCTGTTCGCTGCTTCTTGCGTTTTTCGCTCGCTGCTTCTCTTGCCCTAACTCCCTAACTCCTCCTCAACTGCTTCAAGCTTCTCACTATTCTTCTTCTACTCTTCTTCTTTACTTCCGTTTCCTGCTTTTCTATTTTGTTCTCTATCCTATTCTTCTCTATTCATTGTTTTCCTATTTGTTTTTCAGGTTGTTTTTTCTTTCATATCATTGTTTTTTTTTTCTTTCAAAATATATTGATTTTGGAATTAATATATGTAGATTATTCATATAATTAGTCCAAAAAATTATTTAATCTACATTAAATATATAGGCAGATTATTCATATAATTAGTCCAAAAAATTATTTAATCTACATTATAAAAAAAGATTATTCATATAATTTGTCTAAAAAGTTATCCGCTATCCGCTATCCAATTTTTTGGGTCGGCCGCTCCGCTATGATATTTGGAATTAATAACTTTGGATACAATGCAACCTTATGGTGTAATCTGTTTTTTCGTATGATTGTTGGTCTGTATTCCTCCTTGTTCTTTTGGACCAACCAGTGTACTACAATAGACTTAGATGGTAAAATTTCAAGCTCATTCTTTTGAGGAAACACTGGACTAACATGTTTGTGCATAAGACACCTCAAGTTTTGGATTTTGACAAGTGTAAACTTGCAATTGCAATTGCAATGTAGAATGTAGATTCCAAATGGAAATACAAGGTTTCGGTTATATGCTGTTTCATTGAGTTTATATTTAGGTGTTGAGACTTGAGACTAACTTCCTATACTTTGTAGTGTTACACTAACTTCCAAGACATTTATCTTAGTTATGTTCAGCTGTTTTTGGCGATAAAATCCATCTCTTCAACATGCAACAGAATGGGGATGAAATGGTCATTCTTGTTCTAGTTAATGTTAGTCAATATGAAAGAACATTAACTATGAATAAATAGGGGCTTGTAGTTGTGACTCATAATGGTAGCACCTGTTAATTAACATTACAAAATGTTATTTCTTTAGTCAAGGAGTATAAAATATTGAATGTGAATGTTATAAATATCAATTTTTATGACAAAAGTTCATATTCCATTTATTGCTTTACCTTTAGCGAGTGTTGCACGGTACCTGTACATTTATGTGTGATACAAAACAAAATTTTAACGGGTATGGTACACTCGGTTGGTTTTCTATTTAGGATCGAAATTTGGGTAGAATTGGATTGTTATGCCTAAACTTCGAAGTATAGTATATTAGTATGTAGTGAAAAAATACTATGAATGGGTCCCATTATTACATTTTAGAAAACAAGAGTGGTGGACTGTCAATAACTAAAACATGACAGTGGTATAATTTCTTCAATAAAATGATAGAGATAGAGACATCTTTCTTGTTTTAGATGATTTGTCAGAAAATGGAAAACTAAGACGAAGGAGTAGTATGTGAGAAGCTTAGGAATATGATATGATAATTTCTTACCCCCTTTGAAAGAATTTTTCCCAGTGCACTAAACTTGTAACATGTGGAAAGCACAGAAGATTCATGCCATTGAATTGAATTTCAAATAGTATATAGTGAAATTTAGATGTTAGATCAAATCTTGACTTATTTTGTAGTACTCTAAAAATATACAAGTTCCTTATGTTGTGGAACATAAAGAGGTGCCGTGGGGGGACTTTATCTACTGTTGGGAAGGGTGCTACTCCATTCTCTGTGGAAACAAAGGTGCAAATCTAAAATATTTAGAGAGAGAATGACATACTTGTGTTCTGCAATGCGAAATCAGAACTGTAAATGATTCAATGAACCTCACCTCTTTTTTCCTTTCTTGTTTGTGAATTTGAGCATTTTTTAATATCTTGGGCTGCACATGCTTGTTCCCCAACGTGAGGCAACATATAATCCACATTACCAATAAATGACATTGTTTAGTTTGTTTGTAATGCTTGTTTAACTGTGTTATCTGCTTCCGTACGATTCATCATTATAAACAAGCAACCAAACAAAATAGGGATGAAGAGAAAATAATTCAGACTGTTTGTGTTCTTCTATGCTCGTACTCTATTTAAAATCTCATTCAAAGGGGAAACATTTTCACTTTTTGGTTTTGAGCCTTTTTGTTTACCTTGCTTTTTATCACCTAGTGACAGAATTTATGTTTGAAAGTTAATTGGCATAACCATCAATTGCTGATTATTATTATTATTTTTTTATCAAAATCATGTTGGTGTGTAATTCTGATCTTTATAATGAATCTTGCTTTATCACAGGAAAAGTACTGGGAAGAGCACCCTGGGAAAGCAGTTCCTCTCATGAAACCGAAGTTTTATGGCGGTCCGTGGAGAGTAATGGGTGGCGAGATTCCCCGATATGAGTGAAAAGCTCTTGAGGCATGTTCGAGCATAGTTCTAATTCACCATATTTTAGTACTGTTTATAATTAAGGACTGTTTGGTTTCAATGAAAATGCACTACTGCATATGTAATTCAGAGTGTTTTCTCTTCTCCTGGCTCATGACTTTGTTGGAAAATAAAATAATTTTATTCCAATGTACATGAAGTTGTTTTGTATACTCTGCCATTGATACATCACTTGGGTCTTGGACTGAGCGAGACTTCACCCATCGATTAATGGGCGTTATTTGTAATGGACATGTGACAGGAGAAACCCCATTCTCCTTCCTATTCCTACTGCTGATTCAATACTTGTTGTTCTGCAGAATACAACTATTGCTATTGTGTTTGTTCTTGTGATAATGTTTAGAGTTGATGCCATCGGTGTTTGCGAGAGGTTTTGATATTTGTTGAAGATGAGGAACACTTGTGTTTAGGAGGATGAGAAAACATTGCCATTTTTCTGATTTGATGCAAATGAAAATTGTTGGAAAATTTTGATTTTATGAGATGGATTAGATGAAAATGGAAATTAATTCTCTGGATTTTAATACATCGGTCTTTTTTTTTTTTTTTTGTTTTTTTTAGCTTTGAGGACATGAGAATATTTTTATGTAATTTTGAGAAAAATGTCTTTTTATTTGAATTTTTATGTGACTTTGTTTCTTGGGTTGAATTTTGTTTCTGGGTTTGGTTTGGTTTGTTATTTGATTTGAATTTGTTATTTTTGGATTTGAATTTATCATTAAAACTGTATCTATGTTTTTTCTGGCAACACAATAGATTATATGATTTTGGATCATATGCAATGGAATTTTTTTCCTAGGATTTATGAACTTTTTTCAAGGTTTGTATGAAGATTAAAATTGAAGATATGAAAATTGGGTTTTATGAGTTTTTGTCTTCTAGATTTGTGTGAAACATAAATGAATGATTTTATTTATTTATAAGTTATTAATTCATGATAGGGTGAAACAATGTGACGTGTATTTAAGAAAGTTAAAAAATAATTTTATTAACACACAAAACACAAAGGCAGGGTCAAGAAAAAAATAATAGTGGGAAAGTTAAAAAAATATATTTATTCACACACTTTTGATTTGCTGTAGCTAGGGGTGAAAATAGACTGTGCCGAATTAGATTTTGTCAAGTTTGAGTCTGTCTTACTAAAAAAATTAAAAGTTAAAGTCTGGTCTGTAGTTTATCATAGGTTTATTTTTAGACTTAAACTTGACCTTTTTGAAGGTTTGATTGACCTACTAGTCTATTTAAAAGTCTATTTTATTTGAACGTTTGTAAATAAAAAATTCAACTAATGTTAAATAAACTAACAAATTAAAAGATCATTAAGACTAAATGTGTGTTTTTATTGTCTCATTCAAGTTTATCTATTAACACAAGTTTAGTGATACTATTTGTTGGAAAGAATCTATGAAAAAAAACTTATTACAACAATTTATGACATGGTTTATAATATTTTTTCAATTTATTTTCATAAATTGTTCAAAATAACACAGTTTTATTTTTGTATTTCATTTCAAAATACAAAATACAATATAATAATAATAAATTTATTAATTTCTTTTATAAATAAATCAATTTGATAGACTTAAAAGATTTTTCTTACGGCCTGTGATTTAATCTCTTTAATTAAATATGTAAATTATAACTCGTCCATGGGGTTTCAAAAAATTAAAAAAAGATTGGGTTGTAAAATAAAAAATAAAAAAATAAACGGGCCAGGCCCGTGTTCAAGTACATCAAGGGTCATCAGATTACATCAGTTAGCATCTTCCTCAAATACCAAAATGCAGATATTGCCAAACAAAAATCGAAAGCTGTGGTACTGCACATTCTCATCCTACCTCTTGCGAGACACTGTTCACGTTCTTCTTCTTCTTCTTCTTCTTTTTTGCCGCGATTCTCACGTTCCGTCTCTCTTTCTTGTTTTCACGCCGTTTTGGTGCAGTTAATGAATGTTGCGAAAAGATTACGAGATGTGGTTGTTGTTGTTTGAAGTTGTTGTGAATCGATGGAGTTCTTATTGTTGAATGCTTTTTTTGAATAATTTTCAAGTTTTGTTTTGAATTGGAGGATATATGAAAAAGAAGGGTGAAGAATGATGAACTTGGAATTGATGGAGGTAGTTCGGTTAAAGTTTGAAGAGGAGTATTGGTCAGTTTTCTGAAGAGGTTTTCTGGCTTTTCAAGCTTGAATTTGAAGGTTAGGAAGGCTCTTATTTATAAAAGAAATGAGGTGAGTTTTCTACTTGAAATCTGGAAAAAAAAAGTTGCCGTTTTGTGAATTTTTTTGCGTTTTTCTGATGCAAGTTGTGCCTGACCCATGTGCATTTTTCACGTCGTTTTGATTTTTCTCTTTCAGCTTTTGTATAACGTGTTACCTTTTCTTTTTGATTTCAGCTCAGATTTAATTATATGACGTGGATTGGCTTTCATGGCTCACTTACAGTTCGCACGGCTTGGTCTGCGTGATGTTTGTTTCCTCAGCTCAACCTCAGTTTCGAGCCGCTTTCACTCTGCTGGTTTTTACTTTCTGATTGCATATACTCAAGTATTCTATCAATAGCCCAAGAAGGAACAACTCAATTTTGGATGTAACGGGGAAGAATATTTCAACTGCTCCACGATTACCCCTTGCAGCTGCAACCTGTATTGGCTTGCACGACTCAAAGGCTTGGATAAGTGTAGATTTTCTTTTCAGACTCTTAAATATGGGATTTTCACTGCTAGCAGTATTTGTGATTGCATTGGCCGAGTGCTTCCAGAAATTTACATGGCTTCTTAGAGACTCCAAGAGATTTTCATACTGGGGAGCCCCTTGCCATAAGGCAGTCATGAAGTTAAGCACACAAAGCAACATGCAAGGTTTAATTTTGATCATATCACCTGCCCGCTCAATGCAGTTTATAAGTGCATCTATCCAAATTGAACCTTTAGGCACATAAATTTCATTTCTTTGTAGCTTTTCATCATCAATACTTGAGCGGTCCTGATTGTTCTCCCCCCGGAGCCAAGATCGAGACAATAAAAGAAGGCTGGTAGTTTGCTGCAGAAGTAAGCAGGTTAAATGTTGCAACAAAGAGATCTTCATTTGATTCTGATTTCTACCATAGTATATGGCTCATAGAGTGCCTCAAATTTATGATCTCATGATTATCTGGAGCAAAGTATGTTGTTTCACATGAAAATGATTGGACACAATCTGTTGTGGCAAATAGTGTTGAGATAAACCTGACAGCACCAAGTTGGATGACAGGGTCTCGGAAGTATGAAATCAACGATATAGCAGATGTGACAATGAGAACACTGCCTGGAGAAAAAACAGGAATACTCGATGATGTATCCTTGGAAAGTTTGGTGGTGATCTCTGAAAGAATATCTAAAACAGAACCTAAAGCAAGTTGTAACCCTTCAATTTCCATTGGATCAAAGAAGCGGCTTGCATTAAATTTCTCCAAAGCATGTGCAGTAGTGCAAGCAATATAGAAAGTCGTGTTGTGGATGGAAGCATCGAAGAACAACACATTGTGTATGATCTCACCCAATTTTCTACAACACGACATTAATATAAAGCATTTTTTCATCAACTCAAGAAACTTCAATGTTATTTTCCATCTAATATGTTTCATCCTGTATTTCCAATACTCATGGTTGACCAGGACATACTAAAAAGAGAAAAGGATCAATGCTAGAAGAACATCATTCTCAACTCCTGTTTCTACTAGCTCAATGGTGAAGTCCATCACTGATATTATCAAGGGGTAGTCATTGTTATTTTGCTCACAGTCAATTAAAAGCATTCTAGCCAGTCTGCCAGAAAGCAACCATGACCCACTTAACAAGTCATTACTGCTTACACTGAACACAGCAGTCTGCAAAGTGATATCAAATAGATTTGCATTTAGAGCAACTGCTGTAACCATTAGATGGAGAACAAATCAACATGACACCCAAAATCTTAACACACATTGACATAAGTGCAACACTGTAGGAATTTAGAGGCAGGTTTTTTACTAGATTGCAAATCATCTCAACCACCCAGACATTCTTTTCAACCTGCTCATTTGTCAGGTTAATATCATGAAATTGCATGGATTTGCTAATGTCCATCATTGCAAAACAAACAACAGTATTAAAGGACACCAATCTATTGAGCAGGTCAAGAGTGAAATAAACTTCCTCCTTTTCGCCATTACAGTTTCAGCACCAATATATGCAGTACTAGAAGCAAGACGATGGTTGACCATCATATGCAGAGTTCAAACTCCCATTTTCGAATTGTCTGCTTGCCGAAACTTGCTCTTACTCCATATATTCATTGGCTCTTTCGTAGTTATCCATGACTTTGGGATATTGGATATGCCATTGTGGTGTATCAATTGTTGGGCCGACAAAAAAATAGATGCAGATGGCAGCAAATCAGACCCTACAAGTTTGACTGAAGTTTATGCTCCAACCTTAGCAGTATTGAAAACCGTATTCCTGCAATATGGAAATATGCTCACAGACCATGGTGGTATAATGTATGTTTGACCATGAAAGGTCACGACTGCTGCTTTGTGTTCATCAATGTTGGCAAGGAACGCTGAGCATTTGCTAGAGATTTGAGACAGAGACAAGTTTAATCCTTCAGTGTGGACATCTGCTTGGTATACACGTGCCTCAACCAGAGTCCAACATCTGCATCATGATCTCGTTGATTTAAATTTGTACCCTGTAAAATAATATCCTGCACAACTGTAGAATCTTATGTTTTATTAGTTCTTTTTTGGCTATGTTTGATTTCACAACTAGCATACATGTGCATGAGTTCTTTTTATGTTGATGGCAAGGCTTCATGTATTGCATGTAGCATGGACTTGCTCACGTGGACTTGATTGTTTTGCAAATTATGCTGACTCAATTAAATCAAACCCAAAATCCACACTTGAGATTCCTTCACCAACCTTTGATAAAATGGATGAA